GGCAATAAATGAAAAATAAACATATCAAGGCAGTATATATTTTATGAAACATATATTGTTATTTCTCAACATTTTTGGAAGGACATGACATAGAGCAGTATTTTCCAAACATATTTGAGCACAGGATCAGTAATATATTAATATTAGAGGCCCGGTGCATGAAATTTGTGCATAGGTAGGGTCCCTCGGCCTGGCTGGCCACCAAGGCCAATTGGGGCCTTCTGACTGCTGGCCGGACCATGTATCCCCCCTTTACCCTCTTATACCTGACCCTACCTCCCTTCCCCTCAGGTAATCACCATATTGTTGTCTGTGCCTATGAGGTTTTTTTTTCTTAATCCCTTCACCTATTTCATCCAGCCTCCCAACTCCCATCCCTTCGGACAGCTGTCAGGCTGTCCTTTGTGTTTTGTAAGGTTGTTTTGGCCATTAGATTCCACATGCAAGTGAAATCATATGGTACTTGTCTTTCTCTGACTGGCTTATTTCATTTAGCATAATACTCTCCAGATCCATCCATGCTGTGGCAAAAGGTAAGATTTCCTTTTTTTTTTATTTTTTTTTATGGTTGAGTAGTATCCCATTGTGTAAAAGGTACCACAGCTTTTTTTTTTTTAAAAATCTATTCTGATGGGCACTTGGGCTGCTTCTAAATCCTGGCTATTGTAAATAGCACTGCAATTCCCTACAGAAACAGTCAAAATCTAGAAACAGTAAAAAAATCTAAAATCCAAACTTCAAAGGGAATAAATGAAAAATAAACATATCAAGGCAGTATATATTTTATGAAACATATATTGTTATTTCTCAACATTTTTGGAAGGACATGACATAGAGCAGTATTTTCCAAACATATTTGAGCACAGGATCAGTAATATATTAATATTAGAGGCCCGGTGCATGAAATTTGTGCATAGGTAGGGTCCCTCGGCCTGGCTGGCCACCAAGGCCAATTGGGGCCTTCTGACTGCTGGCCGGAGCCTTCCTTTGTTCTGCACCACCCCCTGGTGGTCAACTCATGTCATAGTGAGCGATCGGTCTCTGGGTCAAACTCCCAAGGGGACACTTTGCATAGATATCACACAGCAATGATGCTATAGAAGGAATAAATGAGAGTTCATGTTCAAGAACTAAGGAAAAGTATTTAGATATGATTTTTCAAGGGTGTGACCATTAGTAACTAGCTTCGATTAATCATGTCTTAAATCCTCCGGGCTTAGATAATACTTGATTCATGAGTCCAGTATAGGGAGCCTGTGAGAAGGTGCTGACATATCTTAGGAATTTACAGTTTGGTGCTGAAAAGAAAGATACCCATACATTTGAAAACACATATTTTATCTGAATGGGGTGGGGGTTAAGTTTGGAAAGAATTTCTCAGGAAGACCTGATCAATGCCTTTGGCCAAGAGGGTGGGAACATCATAGGATATATTTAAAATGGCCTTAGAAGCAGAGAGGCATGGTGGGGTGCAGAAAGCATATTGGCTTGCTTAGAGTAGGGCCATAGGAAAGATTTAGGAGGGAGATCTGATGTTAGCCAGAGTTTAGATTTGATAGAAAGGCAGCAGGACAACGGTCAATTCTTTTTTTTTTAATATTTTTGATTGATTTCAGAGAGGAAGGGAGAGGGAGAGAGAGATAGAAACATTAATGATGAGAGAGAACCATTCATTGACTGGCTGCCTCCTGCACGCCTGCAGCCCAGGCATTGAGCCTGTAATTGAACCAGGAATCAAACAGTGACCTCCTGGTTTAGAGGTCGGTGCTCAACCACTGAGCCACCCAAGCTTGATTTGCGTGCACAGCGCTCAGTGAGGCTGACCCATCCCCAGCCTGAGGGGTGCCTTAGAATAAAAGCCAGCAGAATCAGAGCCTCATGTCCTCTGCCCACAAATACTTCAGGATAGACCCCTGACCCATGGCAGGTCACTCAGAGCCAGCGACACTCAATTCCGGGACCTCTGCTAGAACATCTGGGAGAGAGAAGATCCTC